ATTATCACACTGCTGACATCTTATTTTTCACATTTGTGCCTTTGCACACAATTTACAAGACAAAGTCGCATATTCGGCTTCTTGTAAAAGGTGATATTTACACAAATTGCGATTTCTGTGAGGCAGTAAAACATCGGTCCCATTACATTACAAATTATGATATCATCAAATTTTATTTTTTAATAATCTCAAAATATACTACTGTTGTGAGAATACACATCAGCAGTAATATAGATTCGAATGTTTACGATGAGGTTACCACAAAGCCTGCATGATAAAGACATTGAAATATAACACCTCTCTTAGTTTTTCAACAAACTTGATACATGTAATATTTGATTATAACAACACTAAAATTGCACTGTGATCTCATTCTATCCAGTGTATAGATGATCTATTATCATCAATATCATCAAAACATGGCACAATATCCTCAATGTAATTATCTCAATTTGTATATATGCGACTGTGGGTAAAATCGTGTGCAAGGACACACTTCTTATTTTTCAGTCTTTGTTTAATAATTTGCTTATCAGAAGTAGGCCCCTTCTTCCTTTTTCTTCTCTATACTAAAAATACAATTTTGTCTTCACCTGGGAGATATAATACATATTTCCCATATGAATTTCTCTACAATATAAACAGATATTTAATTTTTCGATAAATTAATCTGACAGGCAAATTATACTAATACCAAGATTGGCTTCAATAATATCAATTTTGATCTTGAATATATTTATTAAAATATTTGTAGGTGTGCTGGTACTGGTACTGTCTGCGATATCTGTTTTATTTTTTCATATTTCTAGCATCACCATGGCAGACTGTAAACAGTGCTGTAGTAATTATATTATAATCCCATGCCAGTACGTCGTCACAGATGTTTTGTTTTTGTCCATTGTGTTCAGTACAAAAGATATTGTGTTTTTGTCCTTCCATGCAGTTTATTAACTCTCCCAGTATTTGGTGTCTTTTATGAAAAATAAAAAAATTTGATATAATCTATCGTATTAATGTCAAATTCGTTTGGTGGTGCATGGCTTTAGAAGAAAACCAAAGATAGATTCTTAATTAGGTTGCCCTCTCACTCGTTGCATCGGTTAGGGGATCTTATTGCTGACATCTGTTACAAATGCATGACTGAATGTCTTTTATCTGATGTACCTGCAATTCCTCACCCTGTCACTAAAATTCTTTGAAAATTGAATGCCTAATATTCACACTATCAAATAAATTTATATTGCATAATTTTGCTATTCAAGAAAAAAAAATAGTTATAAAATTTTAATGAGGTTTTCTTTATTTTGGACAGTGAGTCACTTTGATGTTTGTAAAATTCAATCTTCTCGTTTGCTCTAAAATTACTATAATGCAAGCAATTTCTGGTGATGAAACCTGTGATTCTGTGTTCTAAACAATCCCATTGCATATATAATCTTCTTCCCTGCATTAATTAATCCTCTATTCTTGCATGCCTAGATCACAATTGTTTTCTTTTGTTTATTCCTTTGCATGTCTATATGTGTACATCCTTTCCCAGAATGCAGTGCAAGTAGAGAAGATGTTGCTGAGCCTGTTCCTTCTGATGTCTTACCTATGCTAAGCTTTAAAGGTGTTTCCCATACACCATCTGTAGAGTCTGATAGTTGGACATTTGTAGATATCACTCAGCTTCCCAATAAAACTGACACTTCTGAACTTAATTCCAAATTCCTAGGTCTTGAAGATTGGGATATCATCAGCGCCAAAGAAGTGACTGGAAACCTGAACGGTAACTTCGGAAAAGACCGTTCGATGGTGGCGATGCCATTTGTTGGTGCTTTTGTAAATCAAGTGGAGAAAACTATCAATAAAGTTCAACGCATCTTTATATCGTCGGAAATTGAAGACGAGATCGCTAAGGCCGCCAGACCGCCACTCAGTGATGCAGATTTTCACAAGTTCTTAGACCAGCAGGGTAGGTTGGTTCGACCGGGAGAGTTTCGTCTGCACGTCTACCATGGTGGTATCGAGCCTTCTCTGCGTAAAGTCGCGTGGAGGCATTTGCTGAATATCTTCCCGGATGGTATGACTGGAGAGGAGAGGTTCTACTACCTGAAGAGGAAAGCGAATGAGTACGCCGACCTCAAAAAGAAGTGGCTGTCAGATGAGCGAGAGGAAGTGAAATATATCACTAACATGGTGCATAAAGACGTGCTCAGAACAGATAGGATGCATAAGTTTTATGCTGGGGGTGATGAAAACCACAATGTTAATAAACTGTACAATTTGTTGTGTACCTATGCTCTCTCACATCCCGATGTCTCGTATTGCCAGGGAATGAGTGACCTTGCCTCCCCGATTCTGTACGTCATGAAGGACGAAGCACATGCGTATCTCTGCTTTTGTGGTGTCATGACCAGATTGAAAGGAAACTTCATGTTAGACGGGCTCTGTATGACAAAGAAGTTTGATCACCTCTCCATGTTGCTCAGATGTTGTGATCCTGAGTTCTATGATTATCTAGGGGAGCAGAATGCCAGTGATCTGTTCTTCTGTTACCGCTGGCTTTTGCTGGAACTGAAACGAGAGTTTGCATTTCATGATGCACTATCTGTGCTGGAAGTGATGTGGAGCTCTCTGCCTCCAGATTACCCGGAAGGTGAATTAGAGCTGTGTGGTCCCCCGGCACCGTTATCGCCGTGTATGTCACCTACTGACCGCATGCGATTCAAATTTGCAAAACAAAGATCAGTAAGTCAAGGCGGAAGCAGTCCCGGTAGCCCCAAATCATCTGATACTACATTTGAACATTTCGATCAAAAGACAGATACATCAAAAATACATAATGGAAATAAACAAAAGAAGCGTTTACATTCTAAAGACAGCAGTAGTATAGAATCTGATATCAGTGAAGAATCGGGGTACTCGTCAAAATCGACGTCAGTTGACCAAACCCCGCAAAGTGTTATAAATAACGATTTACCAATCGTTGCAAATCATTTCTCAGAACCAGAACCGACTAAAGAACGGAAGACAAGTGACGGGAAAAGTAGTGTTAAGTCGCCTAGTGTAGCCACGACTAACGGTAGTGTCAATAAGAACCCATATAGTAGTCTACCGCCCCCACAGGACTTTGGCGGTGGTAATCCATTCATGTTATTTATGTGTCTGACTCTGTTGATAGAGCATAGGGACTATGTGATAGGAAACCAGCTAGACTACAATGAACTCGCCATGCACTTTGATAGAATGGTGCGTCGACATAATGCAGAGAAAGTACTCTATAGGGCTAGGACTCTCTTTGCCGACTACTTACGAGCTGAAATCAACATGACCCAGGCTGAATGTGCTTCACCTGTGAACAGTCCGATGAAACGTTCTGTTACTGGACACAAAGGGGAATCATGTTGATCTTACAAATATATATTGTGATTTATTCAGGACTAGAAGAAACACCATCACTTCATCGCTTAGTTTCGCTTTAAGAATAAAATTATTTACTTTGTATTATAGCCTGATAACAAAGTACATTAACGAATTGGGTTCAGAAAGTTTGTCACAAGGAAGACATATTGATTCGTGTAGATGTTACTTTCGTAAACAAAAAAAGATGTTGCTAGCATCTGTATCAGATATTTCTGTCCACCTTTGAACATTCTTACTGTAATGTAATGAATTTACTCATTTTAGAAACATTTTACAGATAGTGAAAAAAATGTATATCTAATAAGATGTCTTTTGCGTGAACATTAGCGAAAACAGGAATATGACATTTACACTCTGGAAGCAGAGTTTTGATCAAACGCTTGCCGGTAGTTTGAACTCTGCAGGGAGGCGTATTGATCTCACCAAGGCTGACATAAACAGTGAAGTGATCAACTATTGTACACTAGTATTCTCTTCACTGCAAATATAATAACCCTATTTATATAGCTTGCACAGTTTGTACATTCAAATTAAAGTAAAGAAAAAAAAGCTTCCTTCCGTCAATTTTCTTGTATGTTATTTCTAGGGGATGTGATTATTTCATTCACATTAAATGGTGCAAGGTATATTTATAATTTATTCCGAGTTGCTTTGTTTAATGTATACAAACTGTAATTTACGTATGATTTCTTGTATATACTTATAGTACAAAAATGTTTACCTGTTGATTTCGGATATCTAGCGTCATGTGTTTTGATTTTTTTTGGTAGATAACAGATTGTAGGTCTGATGAGCTAATGGGGATGGGGCTGTATCAGGCATCTGCATTTTGTTAACTGATGAAGAGTAATTTGAAACTTAATTTATATATTGCATGGAATAAAACGATTATGGGACAACTTGTGCACTGAGAATGTTTAACCTAATGTCAGGCATTTGATCTGCGTTTAGGCTCAAACACCCATATTTGGTCAGATATACCCATTTACCAGGCACTTACCATGGGTGGGTCTCTCTTTCTCAGATTTTTTCATTTCATGACAATCTCCCTCATATTCTATTTTTAACAAATATATATTACATTTTGTTTTGATCAATTTTTCAAAAGCTGATTGCTGTTATATTTACCAGCTATGTACTTGACCAGATTCTCTTTATGTTATTCCTGCTAATGTTTTATTGTATCTCTTGTTAAATCAATGACAAATTAAGAATGTCCCTCAAGGTGTGTACTGCCTCATGGTTGTGGCAGTAGCGATATAATCTTAAAATTGCTTGATGAAATATACTTCCAAACCCGTGTTTAGCAACCACCCAATGGAATAAAATATTCTTTATAGACATTGTGGTTTTTATATTAAGGTTGGATTATCTTTTAAGGATCACCACTTGTACGTAATATTAGATATGGTACTGTTGCAACAAAATCATATTTTTTTGAATTTATCAACTTTGACTTGAGCAAATTAAAAATTGTTCCATGAACAGAATGCTACCGGTAGTTATTATTTTGATTTTGCCAAAATATTACAGAAAGTACGGTCACATAAGCCAGGTTGAAACAAAAGACAGATGGTCTTTATACATGGTTTGTTCATACATTATGCCTAAGGACAGCCTAAAAGTGGTCACCACAGACTGGTTGTCACTGTGGGCAGGTGGTCTTTATATAGAGGTGGTCACTATATGCAGGTTTGACTGTATATATTTAGTTGTCTTTGAATCACAGTTGATCATGTGGCTGATACTGCTGTACTGACATTGAAAGTAAGTATTTCCTGTATGTTAAATTTTCCATCTTCTACAATGCTGTATAATTTCATTTACCTAGCAAAAATATGACATTGTACGATTTAAATAATATTTCAAACTTGCAAATATACACGCGAGCTAAACCAATGTTTCACTACTCAGTGCAATATTTCAATGTTACTTTATCATTGATTCTAAATAGAACAGGGACGTTGCAAACATAAAAGGGCAGTTGTCATTGCGCCACGCATGCGTGTGATATATGGGTCTCGTATAAACAAAGATGGCGACTTTAAATGTTGCGCAGATTAACGAGTACAAACCGAGACGTTACGAGGCTTTAATTAGGTATTTATTAGGTGGTTGGAAGGTATCTGAGTCACCGGTGGTAATTAGTATAGGTCGCACCCAGGTAAAACCTTATACTTGTGATTCATTAGAAGAGCACATTGCATTGTGGGAAAATCAATGTTTATCAACACAAATGTCGCACATATGCAGCGTAACGACTACTGTTCTTTAAGTGAAAAGGAAATAGTGGCACATGTTTGAATATGTACATGGTTAACATATTTTTATGGTTTGAATTAAATTTGTTATCAATAATTGAGTGTCCTTGTTGATAATTGTGAATGAATTTAAAAATGACGTTCTATTCTGTCCAACGTCTGGAAACCTGAACGGTAACTTCGGGAAAGATTGTAATGATGAGATGATGTAATGATGAGAAGCTAAATTTTTTTGTTAGTGGTCGGATGTATATTTATTGCAGCACAATCAAAATTTTAATTTTATTGCATAAACAATTGAATAAAGAATGAAATAAGTTTGAAAAGATGTATGTATATATTTCACTTTTAATAGTAGTATTGCTTAAAATGTTTTCAATAACTTTTACCAGTGAGAAGTTACCAAATTTGTATGCATTTCGAGAAATGTGTGTGCATGCACAGTTTGAAATGGAATAATTTTGAACGAAATAAAATCGCGTGTAGAACTCCCTTCTACAAGAAACTAGTAGTGTTTTGCAACGACTTAAACTTTGAAATGTTCCATCCAGATCAGACAGCACCCTCTCGTGCCAATTCCCCTATACGTCTCCAAGCAACATTTTGAGATATAGAAGTATATCATTTCACTCCATTTTGTACATTAATTTTATCTAAGCTGAGGTCATCAACCTTATATTTCACTTTCTTTATCTTTGTAACATAAAAATATCACATCTGTAAAAAAAAGGCTGGAAACAAGGACTTGTGGATTAAAGGGTGTTAGTCGTCGTACCGCATCCTGTTTAATATGGGACTCATACCGACATATACAACGTATAAACAATGTATTTTACACTAAATTCCAACACGCGCTGCGCGTCGACTACCACCCTTTAACCTCTGCGCATTTTTGCACCCCCTCCTGCATCCCAGACATGCCTGGAACATTTTAGGATACATATGCATGTCTGTTTATTCCACAATATAATGATTCAAGACCACCATGTGGTGGTCATTTTTTCATAAAAATCAAGCATTTTTGCCATTCTAGAGCCATATATTGGTTGTTTATGCACAGGTTTTGTTCAAACTTGGTACATGCTTTGAACATTGCTGGATTGTGATGAATGTCATTTTGCTTTTCTGATGCAATTCAAAATGGCCAACTAGTGGCCCTTTTGTTTTAATGAATGCAGCCACATCTCTTACATGCCATTATGTAAATCATACATCATGTCTAAAATATGCACATTTATTCGTTTGATGAGCCAATATAAAGTGACGGCCATTTTAATGTTAAAAATTCATTCATCATTCTACAGATTTGATTCAAAATGGCTGACGAAAGGCCATTTTGTCTAACGAATGCTATTTTTAGACTGAACTTAAACTTTACACATGCATTATGTAACACATTTGCACATGCATCTGTTCCAGAATCTGATTCAAGATGGCTTATCCTCATTTTCATGCTCGAAATGAGTTATGAATGTCTGAATAATGGCTGAATAAAGGAAGGAATTGCACAAATAAACTGGCTCCATGTGCGAGTGTAAATAATAATTTGGCACTAATGTTGACAGTCAATAAAACTGGACAGGGACTTGTCATTGGCAATGACTTGTTTTAACTTGATTACTTGTCACTATTGAGTAGCACTCTAGCCTTACATGTATAGTGATATGTTGCGATTGCAACCATACGAGTTTTGTGAACAAAACTGCAGAAAATCGTTTACGTTTGAACTCTTGCCAACTACGAAGAAGCAAGGATGTTTCAATAATCTGTAACTTCTCAAATTAAGTTTTTACTTACAGTAATTTTTTTATTTGAGAGCACATCAGTATTTAATTCACAAAATTCATCGACTCCCTGTCAAATGAACCCTGATATTTTCACTGCTGACAAATTTGTTCATGGTTGCAGCAATTCATGAAAGTTTATGTCTGGAAACTAACAAAGTGTACTAACCATCTCATTCGAAAATCATTAGCATAACTGTAATTTGCAATTTCATGTCTGATTTTCAACGGCATCTTCATCGCATGGCAATCTATTATGCATTTGCAGTATTATTCAAAAGACGTCCATAACTTTCTGTTTATTACTTTTTTCTATTTTACATAAACTTGCTATGAATCTTACTAACATTTTAAGACATTGATTGGATTTAAGGTTTCTTGTCATAATATATATATCATGATAAGGTCATGCCAATATTAAAATTGATCTTTTCGTTTATGGCTAAAGTTACCTCTGATAATTAGTCATATATGTAAATTAGTTGCTTCACTGGTTATTTTAACTGAATGAAAAGTCCTGGTAAATCGGATTAAATTGTGTTTAACTTAATGTGCTTGGGGAAAAAAAAAGCAATAAATAGTATGTGTCATTATCGTTGCATGATTTTTTGTTATACTTAAATAAAATATTCAAATGCTACAAAATGTCAACACTTTCCATTACTGTGGTTTTTTGTTCATTTAATGATTCAGGGCTTCTTATTTTCTCTTTCTTTTTGACTTCTAGAAGTTACAACGTATGTATATTTGAAAAACCTAGGTGACACAAGTTGTATTTTGGCACCTAACCAAGTGTTGAGTTTTCCTTGTTGATCTCTTTATTTTGTGTTTTGGTGTATATGTAATGCAGAACCTGACCTAATATACATCTCTTCAGGGTGTGGGGAGGAAGTAGAATACAAACAAACAAACAACATATGAAAATACATATAAAGTATGCCATATATTGGTGGATATACAAACATCTCCTAGTGTGAGGCTTTGTGGAGATGTAACACTAGAGGGCGATGTTTCTGGTCAAAACTTTTACTGCTCATGAATGGTACAGGTAATGCACACGAGTATTTAGACTGGCAAAGCCGGGACTTCTTTTTTGTTTTACAAAAAAATATAATTAATTGTACCCCAGACCATTCGTCCCGGTGTTATACCGGGACGAATGGTCTGGGGTAAATTAATTGTCAATGTAGCCTTTTTTACGTTATCGCAAAAACTAGCATGACTGCGAATTAGCGGTCATCTTAGTTTTCGCACTTACGCTAATAGGACTAAACCAACAATTATTTTTTTTTTTAAAACAAAAAAAAAGAAGTTCCGACTTTGCCAGTCTAATGATTATTATGCACGTTATTCATGAGAATTGTTCACCCAGAAAATAGCGCAATCTCAAGAGGCTGTAGATTAATTGTAAATGTGTTGAAGTCAAGTATGTGTTAGTGGTATCACAACTTGAACATCTTTATTTACAAATGTCTGACATTCTATCAGAGTTATGATAGCTATCCGTGTATTTAGAAATGCCTTGATTGTGTTGTCTTCATTTGATTCTGTAGGACTGAAATTTCACTTGATTCAGGAGAAATCAGATCAGCAGTTACACAACTTGAATCCTAGTGTGGTAGGGGTGTCATTCTTGGTATACATTGACAAATATGAAGATGCTCACAAAACCAATTATTTGAATCAAATACAATTTGGTTTTTTGCACTGAAATGTGGGCCATTTTTTACCTGTTCTGAGAGTCTAGGCATTCTGATTTTTTGGAGTAGCATTATAGATATACTGGCTACCTATTTCAAGAATGAAAATGTTTGCGATCACTAGACTTTTTTTTCTTAATGTATTTTCTCCGAAAAATGGCAAAAATCACTTAAAAAGCTAAGTGTTCAGAACCACTGAACACATTGAACTGTATGATTTCGCTGCCATCTTGGATTTTCGCCAAAAATATTTGTCAGAAGTGCTCTAAGCGACCAACTTGATATTTGGTGTGTAGCATTTATGGCCATAGCTTCTCGGGGTGGGGGAATTAAATAATTGCGATTAGTCATATGGTTTGCCCGCCATTTTTTTTATTTCTGACGAAAATTTCAAATTTTGGGCGTTTGTTGCTTAGCCGATCAAATTGATATTTTCCATGTATGACCAAATTATGAGAAAGATAAAATAATGTTAAACAGTTACGTAGCTTGTCTTGTACCTGACAATACTGCTCTGCAAGTTTATTTTCTTTTGGAATTATTTTTTTCACTACGTGACATGGTGCGCAGAGACTTTTTTTTTCTGTTATTAATACTTGTAGGAATTCTTCCGTGAATTTGTTCCTGTGATTTGATATTTTTCCTGTGAACTATGCAACCGCTACTCCCCAACCGTTTCTACTGGTATACCCCTAATATGATAATGTCTGTTATCTGCTGGTCGTATTAGTATTTCGTTTTGTGTTAACAGATCTCCAAGAAAATATCCACGCAAATGAATCGGTAGATCGCCCTCAGCGTTTTTTTTTTTTATCTTGCTTCTTCCTCGGAATAATACGCTCTAATCATTGTAGATAAAAACAAGACAGTCAGCTTCAACTTGGTTGTTTGGAATCCAGGCATGTTATATTATTTCAGTAGGGTGCTTTCAGGCTAATAAAATATCGAATATCGGCAGGCTTGAATCTTTCTCAAGTCGTCAGGTCTCGTAATCTTGACTATCCGACTAAGTATTATTTGAATCGAATTAAAAAAAAAAACGCACTGTGGTCTTTTAAATTGGGATGTTGAGTGGCAACAATTGTGGCTCCGGGAAAGCTTAATGCATTATTGGTAGCGTTAAACATTACGGATGTATTGTCACCCCGGGCTTTTAATCCATAACCCCGAGTCTGTTAACCCATTGAGGTAAAAGACAGTTTTACCTCCATGGTTATCCGTACCCGCCCTGTGAACAACCTCGCCGTTATCTGAGGCCTATTCCGTTTCAGGGATTCGTTTTAATTGGATAATGTAAACGTTTTAATGAATCCGAAGCTCCAGAGTCAACCTCTAAGATGTAACACGAAGTTTCAACGTTTATATAAATACATTTAGGCCAGACCCGCCGAATGAACAAGAGCCGAAAATTATAATAAAAATAAATTTTTATTTCAGCGTAATTTCTCGCGACTTGTAAGCGCAAACAATTGCTTAATAAATATTATTTTTCTCTTATTTTTTTTTACCGCCCGCCGCATAACAAATCCAAGTTGCATTTTCGTGGGAGTATCATGATCAAAGTACCGAAGTCTCGCGCAGATGAGAAACAAGGTTATACATGGAATAAAATTTTATTTCTATTCTTCTCTCCGATCAGTGATCTCACTTACAATTCTTTGAGATTCACACAAATCTAATGGAAAAAAAAAATTAATTTTAATTTTGTCCGCCCTCCTCAAAAAAATTGCCTTGTAAAAACTCGAGAAACAAAGAATAAAAAAAGTCTGGCCTTAATATCTTTGTACGATATTGCCTGTATACTGTACTAGTATTATTCATCATTGTGTAAATAAAATCCAGTGAATAATTAATGTCTTTACAGTATTTCATCAAATTATTATTACATTGTGTATAAACAAACACTTTTCTAATAAAATATAATCAACCAGCGATAAATATCGAACAAACAAATATTCACGTGGCATCTTTAATATTCTGTGTATGTCCCCTAAGTGTTAATTGAGTTGTCTATTGAATGTTGAGAATAACTGTTGATCAAATATTGATATCGTACAACAAGATATTACAGAACAAACAACTCGTTCTTATCAACGTAAAAACGTGACCAGTTGATGTCCGGAGCTCGTTATTTACCGCCCCCAGCCGAGCATCAATCATCCGACCATCGTATTTACGACGCCAGTAATTCTATACTGAATGAAATTTTCGCATTAATCAATCGATTCATTGCAGAAAATGTATAAATTCTGTTGGAATGTTCCACGGCAAGTATGTTGCCGAGACGCCGGGGGTTGACGTGTATCGACTCGTTTGCTTGTTTAATTGTCCATTAAGTCTATGGAAAGTGACACCATTGTATACTCGATCCTGTTATTTGGAGTCGCCTACGTGTACGGATATTTCACTTCATACCTGTTCTTGTATTCACAATATGTCTCAATGAAACCTCGCAACGACGAGCCGGCCATTCGGGTTTGTGTGGCCTTCAGTTCGACGTGAATCGTCGAAACGTCAAACAAGTTTATAACGTTTCCCGGTTGCTATGCCGTAAGGTACTTCGTAAACAGGTGAGTACGTCGCAACAGACATCTCGGCGAGTGTTTACAGTATCGCCACTAGCCGTGGATGTGGCTAACCACTTCAACAACAGCACACCAGTATTATTAGTAATATAATTTTTATACAGTAAATCGTGTGCGATGACTCTGTAATAATTGAGTAGGGTGGATTTGGCCGGGGGATTTACCATCGTAGCCTTTTTCGGAGCGCGTCAGAGTAATAGTAACAAGACTTCCGTATTTGTTCGCAGTGGTACACGACAAATATATTTACTCTACGCACAAGACTGTATGCGGCACCTAGCTACGGGCACTCACTGTGGCGGTCGTGACGGTTCCGAGAGCTACATTCACTGTGTTCCACTCGTTCCACCTGCTGAACGCAACAATTGTATCGCGCACCGTGTAGTCACATTGTTAAAACGCGACATATTTACGCCGATAAAGCTGTTGGCGACATTTTGTACTAATAATACCTCTCTTCGCTCTGTTCTGTTTCACTGTATTGTAATGTCAGCTCATTAACGTGATTGGGAACAACGACAGCGAGTAACAAATGAAATGTGATGTTTAGACGTATTTACATATCAATGACACAATGTCGGACACGATACGAGGTCATTTTTAATAAGTCTCGGGGTCAAGTACATGTGAAGGAGCTACAGAATACAGAGAATAGTGCGTTATATTTCGAGATTAGGTAACCCAAAAGAAAAGCGATTTAAAATAAATATAACAAGCCAATATTTTTGAACCATACAAATGTACATAGCATTTCAGACAATTCAAATAAAAATATTCCCCGAAATCGTATTATGATTTTCAACTAACTTATTCACAGTACTAAATAGGGTATAAATTAATAAAATGATAAGTTTAATAAAGGCAATTATTTATGAAATAACAAATTTGGTTATTGATGTACCCAAATAATTCTAACACCGGGGGGGGGGGGGGTTTAGCAACAAACCGTCCGTCACATATTAGTACCACTGTCAATGTCAACAACATCGACAAGGGAAGCATCATTTGTAAACGTTTTAAACTAACTGCGTGCCTTAGATCAAAATGTAATATGACTACTAATACTGAATTTGAAAATCAAAATGTCGAGAATTCAAAGCCACGATTGGTAGGTTTTACATTAGTTATTTCGTACAGGTTGCGTAGTAAAAATAAATACTCTTCAATTTTAAATTATTCTATTTCATTATTACTAAATATTACTAAATATGATAAAATGATGGATATTGGTATAGTATAAAGACGATAGAGACGTCATTTTAATCGCATAAAACACGAGTGCAATACTTCAGGATTCCCCTGTTGGGGCGGGGTTTGCTCAGGGCTGTGGGCAGGTGAGAGGTTCTTATACAGTTTTGGTAAGTTTCTGCATGGTTAGTGGTTTGAAACATTGTTAAATAATAATTATTCACCAGTGTTATACACCAACGCCTAATGACGCACGACAATATGACAGGATGTGACGTCATGGCTAAAACTAAATATGATTGGTCTCACATGCTCAACAAAACAAGGACCAATATTATGCATCTATACTGTATTGTCGTGATGTCTGATACTCTGTGTTGAATACATTATTCTGAGTCTGAGTATCTTTTGGTACATAAAACAACAATCACTGCACATGCGCATTAGAGTTTTCATTTTTTTACCTATCGATACGTGTCGTACGTGCTGAAAAATCATAATCCTGTTTGCAGAAACAGACTGTATGCTTTCGTCCATACTGCATTTTAAAAATTACAATCCAAATGAATGGGGCCTGTTCAATTTTAAAAATTGTCTCTTTCGGGGTCACGGTCTATACATGTATTTTCTTAGAGTTCTATATCATTGTGTGAAGAATCCAATATTTCTTATATTTTTACAATATTTCATTAATTTTTCCGGTACTTTACTTTACACCTCAACATATTGAAAGAAGTCTATATTACAGCTTACGTAAAACGCACTTTTACTTTTTGATACATGTATTATGTATGTTTTATAATTTTATAATCATACTTATTTGTTTATAGAGTTTATTTAAGAAATATATCGGAATACTGTTGTCAAGCATGGATCCAAACAGACGGCAAAGGAAAGTTCTGCCGCAGAGACCTTTCTATGCGCTCCCACCGGAACAGGAAAGCTGTACTGAAATAGTAAATAAAGCGAGGAAGACCATAAAAACGAAAGAACACAGGGGAACAAACACCAGGACACCAGACAGAGCGTGAGTTAATCATCGAAGAGTTAGAGTAATTAAGTCATTCGGCTGAACGACAAGAAATAACAACTTTATTATAATTTGCTTGGCATCAGAAATATTCGAAAAATGAACCATTATTTAACAATTTCTTCTGAAAAAAATAACCGCACAGAAGTTTTAACGGAGGCCTCTCACGCGAGCCTTCCCGCCATGTGCTGTGAACCCATTTTCGAATTTTGGAAATAATTTACCTTCATCTGTCAGATCCTACAAAATTCAGTCCGTATTTTCTGGGCCCCAAATGAACAAGCTTGTGGGGATTTTTGCAGGAATGTTCTTTACGGCGAAGCTCATTCCTGTGAAATCTCCGATGGGGATATTACTAAACCTTCCACTTTATCTGTATTGTTATAGGAATCGAATTCAGGGAACAGACCACCATTCGATGCCGCTGGATTTCGTTCTCACAGGAGCAGGTAAATATTTTAACCCAGTAAATTGGGAATGATAGCGGCGCCAGTATATCACGAAGCTGTTTAGTAACAAACGTGGTAAGTGGGGGCCCGGGCCCTGGGATGTGGTTGCTGTTATGAACCTGGAATCTCAAAATCTCCAATTTCCAAGGAGAAAGGCGACCCCCATGTGATCCCATGGTACGTACGATTGTCCAAGCAATGGATTCTTATAAGGAACAATTAGGTTAATCGATTCCTAAACTTCATATTTTCATGTGTTACAATAGGTATGGGCATTAAACCGGAGAGGTTACCACCGGTAGGAACCAGGGCGCCCTCTACTGCGACACCGGACGTACCGAAAGAAACAGCGACACTACAAACCCTGCTCAAAGATCACATACACAGCATGGAGACTATATTGCACAAGTCACGTGGGGCTACTGGGTCACGTGATGGCGATGCTAAGAAAACATTCCTCACTGAGCGTTATGAGCAAATATTAAATGGCGACTTCGAGGGCGACATTCCCAATATAGCGAAAGTAGTTCGGATTTTTCTCAGTTCAACATTCACAGGTAAGACCACATTCAAATTACCTAGCTTTGATGATGTTGCATTTCTCAATACGTACCGAACATAATACAGTACCTTACATAGACTTTAAAAGACGGTAGTCGTCACGCCGCGTCCTGTTCTTTATGGGAATCATAGCGACGTACACAACGCGTGTAAAATACATTGTTTGTTTACATGAAATTCGAACACGCGCTGCGCGACGACCACCACCCTTTAATAGTCGATGAACAATACGCTCTCCCAACTGCCATCAAGTTATGAATCCCCCCAAACTGTCTTTCAGATACAACAGAGGAAAGAAATTGTATCATGTTTCGTGCTGTGCCGAAATTAAAGCGGTTTTGTCAAGAGCGCGGTTACGAGTTTCAGGTATGTGTACATACTGTGTTCACATCAAATTCTAACTGAATGTAAGTATGATCCAATGAAAATTAAACAAATGTCTCTGTTTTCAGCAAAACTCAAATAAGTATTTATTTGATGAAATAGTGCACATCACAAATAAGCATTATTAGTATATACTAGTATATTATGACGCACACGCCGTATATTAATAGTACGTACCAGTAATACACGACGCACGTGCTTGAACACGTACCAGTAAATCATAGCGCTTTAAAAAAACTGGTGCATATCAGTGATTTGCGACGCATGCACTATGAATCAATAGTACGTGCCAATAATTCAAAACGCATGCACTTTGAATTGGTTGTACGTACCAGTATGTCATGGTGCACGTGTTTTTCATTAATAGTTCGTAACAGTAAATCATGATGCATGCAACGTGAATCAATAGTTTGTTCCTGTAATTCATGAAGCATGCACTTTGAGGTAGTATTACAT